CACGATCCCACCTCTCACAAGATTTGAATCCAGGATCTATCGATCTTGCATGTAAACACTTAACCTCTAGACCATTGAGACGGCCTGCATCCGACAGTGTTAATGTCTAACTACAACTAATCCATGAAATTGAGCGACATATCCACCATTATCATCAGTGAGTTACTATTTCACAACAAACCTAGTTGAACTCCACTGGTCACTGCTTCTCACTAGAACTCCAAGAAATACCTCTTGAAGCCAGTCAATAGTGAGCATATATTAATTCATATCAGAAAAGGTTTTTGTAAATTTTATAGTCATTTTAATAATTCACTAATGATCTCAACTATATAAAATTACTATAATCTCCACAAAAACCCCTTCTTATATTTATTAGTAAAAATTGTAATTTACTTTAATTCTGATATTTTTTTGTTCTTTCACTTATAAAAACAAATATTAACCCTCTTAACATAAAATATTAATATAATAACATTAATTAAAATGTGTACTATAATAAAATACATGGAATAAATCAATTTTAATGAGCTTCAAGGAATATTTATTGAATGTGTGATCAATTAATTCAAATTAACTGTCTACTTCTATAATTATAAACGATTGAATTAGACAGGGACTAGACAACTATTGATGATTTGCGGTCTAGTTAAAATATAATAGATATGTCAATATATAGGAATAAAGTATGAACTTAACTGTTAAATTATTCATATAGAAAAAGTGTATACATTGTTTTGTTAGTGTTAGGATGTGCAGAAAAAGAGACCAATAATTATCATGTTAAGTCTAATGTTGTCCTTGGACGCTAAATGTACATTCCCTATTGACCGATATTTGCGTCACTTGTTTAATATTGTGTAAATGTTCTTTTCTATTTTTATGGTACGATGTGGTATGTTTGGTTAGTATATAAATAGAGTATGTTTGAAATACAATGATTCATATCTCAGAGGCTGTGACTTTCGTTCTGGACTCAACTGGCTGGGATAGACAGGGGAGCAGGGCCAATCCGGATACGTGTCACTGTGATCGATCGATATAAAACGCTGCTTATTATAACCTGCAGTCTCACACGTTACAACAGTTAGCCAACTTCTTTTGAAAACAAAAACATTTTTCTGTTTATTATTAAACAATTTATTTATATCAGATGAGTTTTTTGTGTGGATATTATAGTAATTTCATTGGTTGAGAACACAAGTCAATTGAAGGTAGATCACCATGGAAAAACCTGAAACTATCTGTTCAACATGTCTGGAAAGGTAAACATTAATTCAATTTGATGAATAAACTTTTATCATAATAATTGATAAGATAGAAAACATTAAAAAAAGATATTGGTTCATAAAGTCATAGTTATAAATTTATCATTCACACTATATACATATACATAATGAAGATAAATTGAAAATCTATTTATATTATAATATTAGTTAAATGATTTATGCATAAATTGACTATGATGATATTAGTTTATTCATAATATGATATTTTAATTCAATGTAGATAAAATATAATACAATGAAAATGGAAATGATCTTTAGAGATTTTCATATGATTATCACTAATTGTAAGTGTTTTCTTTTTCTTTCTTTTAAAAGATTTGCATAATTTGCATAGATTATTAAAAATTTGTTACTTGAAATTTATAATGAACCAATCGATATCTTTGTAAAATTTCTCAAAGAATAATATTTTCGATGATAAATAAAAATTGATAGTGGTTAGCAGTGGAATCTAGATTGATGCACGTTTCGTCCTATTTCGGTCTCGTCAGCTGGATGTAATTGTATCTCAGATTTGATGTTCACACCAGCACTCCAATCCAGTACCGTTCGATTCAAACGCCATCGCGTTATCCACTCAGCTACTGAGTCCTGATAGCCACTTACTTGCTGGTGCAATGGGGTGAAGTTTAAATTCACTTACTATTGTTGAACTGAATCTTCCCATTTATATTTAGGACTGCAATTGATCAGTCTCTTATTATAAACATATGTGCATACTGTGTGTATTGCTTCGATCCTGCCGTAATTCACAAGCAGTCCTAAACATCAATGGAAACATTCAATTAAACAATAACAAGTAACTAAAAATCCTACATCTGAATAACAGACTGAATTGTATTATATTGTTTATTCTATAGTTAGTCTTAACAGACATTATAGTCCTAATGTATCTGAATGGATTTATACTAAATGATATTGGATTTTTGCTCCGAATTACGAATGAAACATCCAGAAGATTGGAATGTTCTTTTTCTCGCTCATAATCACAAGATGAAGACATGATAGGTATTCGTGATACACGCTTGTAGCGCACAAATAACAAAAGGTTTTTATTAAATTTTTTGTAGTGGCATTTAACTTCTAACATGAACATGGATAATTTTATATTTGAAGCAACTAGACGTTTTCATAAATCACGAATAAGAATCATTCAATGTGATATTTAAAGTTTTATGTTCATCGTGTAAAGTTGAGAATTATTTACATCATTCGTGGTTCAACTAAAAGCGTTTTACTAAATAGTGTTAGTTCTCACTCGAAATAGAAAATCAGTGATGCATGTCTATGTTGTTAACTTTGTGGAATTGACTTTCTAAAAGACTACTTAGATTGAGTTTCTTCTCCGAAATAATATATAACCATATAAACCTCTGGATAATTGCCACAGTACAGCCCGTGATTTCATTAATTATTGAGATCTGAATAAGCATATAGTCGAACTGTCAACTGATAACCTATAGACCAAAGATATAATAAGTGTTTTATAGAGACTGGATGGTAATAAAATTTATTCTTTGCTTCCTATTATGTAAACCCCTACGTTAAGTAATGCACAATCAAAAACCTAAAACATTGTTTACATTCAAAAAGCTCCATAAGTAAGTGCATTAAAAAAAGTAATTTACCACTCTTTGTACTTCAAAGTTCAAAGCTTACATCTGAAATTTCACTGATTGAAATCATAAGTCAGTTGAAGCTAGACCACCATGGTAAACCTGGAAGCACTGGAGGGCGTTTCGTCCTAGTGTAGGACTCCTCGGCGGTGCGCATCCACGACCCCACTCCCCGCGATATTCGAATCCAGGAGCTATCAGTCTTGCGTCAGGCGCTTAACCAACTAGACCAATGAGCCGGTTTACATCTGACTTAAGCAATATTGAAAAAGTATAAGTTAGAGTAGTATAAATTTCATGATCAGAAAGTCTTGTATGTCCTAGAGATATCTTTTAAAGAAATGTTCGTACATTTAGACGTGAATATGGCCAATTGTTTCAAAAATAAAGTTTTTACTATTGTCTTTAATTGATTTGATGATGCATTCATTAACCGATTAATAAGACAAAGAAAAATGCTTATTGGCTAGACAGCATTACACAGTTTTGTCTAAATAGCAAAGTTATAACCATTGAATATTTTGAAGAACATATCTAATGAACGAAATTAATTCCGGTGATTCACACTCATATGGAACATAATGATAGTATAGGATGGCTATTTTGAGAGAAAGCAACGTTTATTGATTTTTATTTTTACTTATAGCAGCCATCGAGAATACCTATTATGCTGTTCGGTTGATTGTGACTGAAAAGTCTAAGGCCATGATTCCTAATACACCCAAACAATGCACTAATGATTACGTCATATCCGATTGTATTTACCAATTTACATGTTTGTGTGGACACACATAGATAGGGAGGAGTATTAGAACAATGCAATCAAGAGTCAATGAACATGGGCCTAGATGCATTCAATATCAATATGTTTCAAATGATCCGATCAATGTGTGAGACGGAAAACCAGGTTCATCGATAGAGAAACATATGAGACGGGGCACAAAATTGACATTAATACAGCTTTTAGAACGTTGTATAGAAATTGTCAAGGACGAATTCTTAAGTTTATAGAAGCCTTGGCTATTTTGTAAATTTAAACCCCCCTTATGTGTACAAAAACAATTTGTCGTAACCTTGAATTTACCTTGTTAATCCTTAAGTCATTCTATGGCCTAGAATAATGCGACAATTTCATAATCTTTCTCTCCCCCTTGTTATTTTACTTGAACTCTCATTTAATTGACCTTCATTAGTTTTCATATAAAAATGCCCTGATCAGTATATGTGTGACCAGATTGTTCGAAATGCATCACATTTTTCAGATATACTCCGTCTTCTCATTGTTCTATCGAAATTTATGAAAGGGATTAATTGCTTTAAACTTTATATAGTAATCACTAGATATTTCACTGGTTGAAATCATGAGTCAATTGAAGCTTGACCACCATAGAAAACCTGGAAGCACTGGAAGGCCGTTCCGTTCTAGTATGGGACTCCTCAGCAGTGGGCATCCACGATCCTGCCCCCCGCGAGACTCGAACCCGGGACCTATCAGTCTCACACCAGGAGCTTAACCAACCAGACCACTGAGTCGGCATCCAACGGTGTTAACAGATAGCACAAAGAATTTTTACACTCATATAAACTTCAGCTATAAGCATTAGATCTTTCAGTACTAAATAACCTCTTTTTCAGAAATTTATTCTTTTTGTTTGTTATTTCCTATTTATGTATTTATACACAAATATAAAAGTGAATGAAAATTAATATTCCTATGTCATGATGTTATCAACTATGACAACACAGACTGCATAAAAACAAACTAATGACTTATCGATATCGGACATATCATCTAACATATGAGTAATCTTCACTTCTACGCATTAGTAGGAAACCAGATCACGATTGGTTAATATAACTATTATTTTAATTGGCTTTAACATAATTGTCCAATCAAAAATTAAGGCAAATTATTTTAAAGTCATGTTTATATTCTGAATAGGATAAAACTTTTTATTGAGTTTATTTTATTCTTTAAAACAATAGTACGTTTTATCCGTGTCTTAAAGACAAATTATTACTAATAATGGAATAAACAATAATGTATCCCAATAGATGGCTAATTATTTGGATTATAATCTATTGTCATATTTTAATGAATTTTTCAGCAAATGAAACTATTAATGAATCTAGTAACAGCAATTTAAGAGTTTATCATATATCTAATAATAACTCTCAAATGACTAACTCTACTAATTCAACTGGAACATATAAATACTTATATAATAACTTGAAACATTATTTTCTAACATGGTATTTACCTACAGTAATTGTCTTAGGAATTGTTGGCACCGTATTCTGTTTGGTGTTTCTATTTTTGTCAAGATTATTTCCACAGAATATGTTGATTTGGTTAGTTAGTATATGTTTTGGAGATTTTTTTATACTCTCCTTGGAAGGTATATGGATGTTATTAAAAGTTTGGTATAATTATGATATACGTGATAATAATAACTTTATATGTGTATTACATACAAGCTTATCAAATTATTTTTTCTATTGGTCGGCTTATATGCAAAGTATGTTGTCATTACAACGAGCATATTCAATTATCAGACCATTACGTGCTAGAAATAGTGGTCCAAAACTGATATGTCTTTTTCGCCTATGGTTTTTGATATCTATCTGTCTTATATTACCAATTCTCCCTTATCCATTATATTGGCGAGTTATCAACGGTGACTGTGATCCAACAAATACAGATCTATATCATGTTACAACATTGAACGATTTCATTATCTGGGGTTTAATTCCACTTATTGGTATGACATCGTCTACAGTCATAATATGTTGGAACATTTTTCGATTGCGAAAATGTTTTCGTGAAGCAACCTCTTCAGTTTGTTTACATGAAAATGAACAAAAGAGAAAGTCTAGTGCATCCAGGGTCAGTGCATTGGTTTACTACTTCAGAACAGATGATATATCTGGGAATTTTCGTAAACGTTCAAATTCTCTATCAGTTTCTGAATCTGCACTAAATTTGCAAATGAAGTCTCAATGTGAAATTCTACCTAAGATTTATAAACCTGTATCTGTTCACAACTTAATCGATCACACATCAAGGTGCAACCCAAAATTTCACTCTCAAGCAATCATTAGATCAACAAATCCTTTCAATACACGAAGAGATTTTACAACAAAGTGTAAAGCATTATCATTTGACCAGATTACCAATTGTGTAAGACCTATTCGTAACCCAGGTTACCGCCATGGTGCAACAGATAATGTAGGTCATGTGACACGACTTTTGGTATGTATGAATATTTGGTATATGTCTAGTACATATCCACTGATTGTTTATTTAATATTATTAAATTTTGTGCTAACAAATGTTGATCGTGATGTTCACAAATTCATGTATTACTTATCAAGAAGTTTATGTTTTTTAAATGCATGTTCAAACTGGATATTTTATTGTGCATCAGGACGATTATTTCGTTCCCGCATACATCAAATGATACTGCGTTTCATGTGTCGGATACGGTTCCGTCACAGAAGTCGAAATTCTGTTCCAATACCACCAGACTATACAAATCATTTCAAAAACCAATTTGTTTTGAATACGTCAAAAAATGTGTACCATCCACGTGTCAGTCCATTTTTTAAATATTTCAGTGAAACAAGGAAAATCAGCATGCGGTTAAATAAGAATCATGGTGGTAACAAAATCAATAATATGATGCAACCGAATATGGAGTTTATCGATAATTTTGGAGGACACTTGCTCAATAGTTCTTTTGAGACAGTAAAAAACCAAAAAACTGAGAATTCAACTGCTAAGGATATTAGTTTCATGCATAATTCGTCAGGGAAATATTCAAATAACTGTTTCCCTTTAGGCTACCAGTGCTTTTGTAATTTATTTCCTTGCTCACTAAAAGCTTTTAGTAAACCTTCCGATTCAAATAAACATTTATCAGTTAAACCTTATCCAAACGTGGGAAAGTTACAAAAAGATGGAAATGGAAGTGAAGAGCAAAATGTTTTACTTGGATGTAACGGATGCTTTACAGGGTTCTGTTGTTGGAGGTTTTGGTGGTATGGTTTGATGGCCGGATGTATCAAACGCATACCCAATACAATTGAAACTGTCACAGATAGCGACCAAAATCATTCTGTTCAAGTCCTTACAGGAATATCAACTTCATCATCAGTGTATGATAGCTGTGATTTGCATCGACGCCATTCAGAATTTGCTTTGAACAACTTAAATTACAAATACTGTACGCACTATCGATCCACAGAAAAATTTCGTGAACTTGAACCAAAAAGGAAGCTAGAGTTGGATTTAGCCATTCAAAATACATTTAATACACAAAAGCTGCATGAAATTGCAAAATCATACCCATCTAGTAGGTCATTTACTACTCCCAATAATGCGATACGTTCAATAATTGACAAAGATAAATCTGTTGTTGATTACACACATTCTGACATAATATTGCCTAAACAGATAATTCCAAAATGTTTTTGTTATATATCATCGCAAGGTAATCGTAAATTTAATTATAATTTGTGCCAATACCACCGAGATTTTAATTCATCCTGCCGTCATCATCATAGTCATCATCAACATTTTTGGCCATTATACAGTTCACATTTACATTATCAATCAAATCGTCCAAATACATCCATAGATCGCTATCGGAAAAATTATCAATTACCATCTTCTTCTAACCATACTTTTAGCGATGTTGAAGTTAATTCTTCCACTAAAAATGACAGTATTTTTAGTCCTTAACATTCAGAACAACAGGAATAATGCATATAACCTTATTCAAACATAACAAATGATTGGATACTTTATTGATCACAAAATTGCTTACCAAAAAAAGAATAAAAACGGGAATAAATGTGAAATGAGTAGAAAAATGCTGAGAATTGTTTGGGGGGGGGGGAGACAAACGAAGAAAATCTGGTTAAGTAACACAAAGAATCATCTAATAAGCGATCATTATCTCGTATGTGATAATAACTTAATATATATGTAAATAATTATGTATTATCTTTTTTTTACAAACATTAACAAGATATTGACAAGGTGTATGACAATCATTCTTTCCAACTAAAATTGTTACACACAAAGCAAACTACTTGAAATCATATTCTACATACAACGTTGGATTTACTTCAAATACATTCGCTAAGATTTTACAAATACATTCTTCTTCTTCTTTATAACAATGTTTAGTGTATATATGACTATGAATAGTTGAGTATAATTTATGAGTTTGTAAGTTGTCAAGTATGTTTATGAATTGGGAAGATTTACGTAATCAGTTTTACTACTATGCATTATGTATTCATCGATCTACTTATATTGAAGGGTTAACCAAATCACAGGATTAAATTAATTTACAGATTAAAATAGTAGGTTGTCACATATGTATATATGTGATAAATGTTCAGCTTATCAGCCTTACTGCCGATTATCATAGTAAAATCAAACACTTTTCATTTTCACCAGCGAAAAACGTTACTCTAAGTTTTTGAGATATTCTAAGATGAAACTCTTCGGCTCTTCGAAATTCCTTACGTTATAATGATTACTTTAAAGGTAATTGTTAGTATGAGGTTGTGGAGATTGTTGAGTTTCATTGAGATCATGAAGCGATCAGTGTTAGATCACCATTGTAAACCTAAAAGCACTGAAACCTGTTGGGTGTGAGGTAGTTAGCCACCGAAGTAAATGAAAGGTAATCAATAATTATCATGGATTGATTGAAGTTGAACATGAACACAGTCGAATACCGGCTCAGTGATTTAGAAGTTAGGCGTTCACGAACAAGATCTAAGGTCCTGATTTCGGTAGTTATGTGCGTGATCGGGGATGTGCACTGATGAGGAGTATCTGACTAGGACGAAGTGGCCATACAGTGCTCGGAGGTTTTCAGCGGTTGTCTAAAACTGATCAGTTCATGATTATAATTAAAGTAAATTCCTTAACAACTGTAAAATATATTTGAGTATCGCAGATTATAACCGTTTGACAGTAAATTTTTGAGCAAACACAACTCTTTCAAAAAATTAACTAACCCGATTTAGAGACGCTTTGTCCATATGTTTCTTATGGTTATAGATAAAATATTTATAAAGCTTAATTATGTTTAGTCATGACTGAAACTTAAACGGGTCTATAATATTATTATTGAATAATATATTATCCTGATTGGTATTTTACTCAAATATAGTAGTGAGTTTCTGCCTTCATAATTCATCTTAAAACACATACCAGTCGAACAAAAGAAAAACGTCATATTCATGTAATCCCATGAAAATTAGTAAACATAATTCCTATCTCCTCTTACAAGAAAAGCTAACTTTCTCTAAACTAGTAAATGAAAAAAATTACCTAAAATATTCGATGTACTTTTCTAAAGTAAAAATGTTTTTGCATGTTTAGAAAGTACATGTGAAAATCAGTTATCAACACATTTCACTTTAATATTATTATAAATATAACATGAAAAATTATTGATGAAATATGAAGGACAGTAAATAATGTTAACAGAATCTAAGCTAATCAGTTGGTATCTAAAATATCAAACATCAGGGGTCATAATTTAAATTCATTCTATTTCACAACGATCATTAAAATTCACAAACTGAGACTTTAACATATCAGGTTTGTTTTTATAAAAATTAATAAAATGGATTCTTTGAGATTAGGTGGTGGTTGGAGGTAGTCGATAGGAAACCCTGAACCCGGGTTTCGTGCTACTTGACACTCGTCAGCAAGGTGTACCTATAATCTTGAGGGAACTGGTGCTCCCTGGTGGATTCAATCTCGTGTCACCCAGCTTCACAGTTAGAGACGTTACCACTGAGCTGTCCGAGCCGCGACCGATCTCCTGTAGGACTGGGATGTAATCACAATTGATTGATCACTGGGTGGTGATCAATGTTATGCGTGTCTAGTCCTTATTAGTGCAGATCGAATACTATCGATCATGTCGCAATGTGGCCACCATTCTAGGTGACTCGACACTGTGGGCACTATATACCCCCTCAAGATTACAGGTACACCTTGCTGACGAGTGCCAAGTAGCACGAAACCCGGGTCCAGGGTTTCCTGTAGACCACCTCCAACCACCATCTAATCTCAATATATAGTGCCCGCAGTGTCGAGTCACCTAGACTGGTGGCCACATTGCAACATGATCGATAGCATTCGATCTGCACTAATAAGGACTAGACACGCATAACATTGATCGCCACCCAGTGATCAGTCAATTGTGAAAATAGATTATTTGTTCATTTTATATAATCAACTGTCTACAACTTTAGAAAGTGAATGATTTGAATCATTTAAATTTGATCCAATATTCTAAAAGAACTAGATTGTAAATCAATGGTTGGATAGCTCACAGTAATAATAAGTAATATATAACTTTTGTATGCAAAATGTAAACCTAACTACTGATAATAAACATAAATAAATATTCATGAATTGATGCAAGTTAAAAACTTGGACAAAAACAATACAATTTATTATGATTACAATTTTGTTTCAAAACGTAAGGATAAAACAATCATTTACTAATCATAAAGAATACAGTTCATTTGAATAGAAGATATAGTTCGTGTTAAAAGTACTACTTTATAATCAATGACAAAAGAAATACAAGTTAATCATGTAAATTTAAAAAGCTGGGTGTTCAATCAGTGGTGTCTCTTAGGAAGAGGTTAAGAAAGACACAAACGTGAAATAGAGCTGAGAGTAGTTGTTAAAAATATGTAGCTAGAGACTGAAGTGAGATTATTTTAGGTTATAATGGTCAAAACTATACCGTTTTAGAAATATACGTTTGCCTTCTTCTAGTTAATCCAGATATTGTTGCTCCGCCTGATATATTGTTATGTAACTGATATCAAAGTAGGACAACTCATTCTATTTTTATAAGATGTTAACTAACTATTCAAGGGATAAAATGTGTCACTGTTTATATATCTAATGCTCCAAATTCCTAACGATACGTGATCCGCATGGATCTGGACCTCTGAGTACGATCAGTGTAACTAGCTCCATTAGAACATTTAAACTGGTGTAGGCACATTAAGGAGAAAATTATTGGTAACTTTTGGTTATTTCAAATGATCTGTAGGAATTTTTAAGTTTATGTAAATGGATTTAGTGCATGAATTACAGAAACTATTGTTAGTTACAGTGTACATTATCCTAAAACGTATGTAAAGCATATATCAGATGAAATTCATACTGACAGTCAATGGATAAATTTCATGTCCATGGGTTATAACAACACGGAACTAATTAGAACAAAGAATTACATTCTAAAAGTTATATTCGACGTTAAATAGATGTTAGATACAATAAAAGACTAAGTGAAGAATCTCGAAGAAATGTTATATACAATGAAATTTACTTTTGAGGTATATAGACCAAAGATATTTGCATATGGGATGGATTCATTTTAAGAGGAAAACAGTGTTCATGTTTTGTAAAATAGACTAGTTTACAAAACGTCCATCAAACATGCTTATTATGATTATCAAGTTTCACTTGGTTGTTTATTGACCTGCTTACCTACTTACTAATATTACCCCGCGTGGAGAAAAATAGGCCGCCCACTATCATTATGAATGGAACTAAACCTGAACAATACTTTCCAGTTTCTATTCATCATTTTAATATCTCCTTTCAATTATCAGTGCACTATGTTCTTTGGACTTCCTGTTTACCTTTCGCCTTTAAAATTCCAATTTAACGACTTCTTCGTGATGCAGTTTGATGATTTCTACAGTCCTGTCGACTTCTAACATCTTCTCATAAGTTCCTCTTCAGCTCGGAACTGGTTTGTTCTCCACAACACTAGGTTAATGCTCACGGTGTCCGGTCAACGGAAATTCAGTATCATGAATAGAAAACTGTTTCCAACTGTTCCAGAGTCTCTCCACCAAGTGTGACTGTGTTGGTGCTCACCGAGTTATGTTATAGGATCTTACCTATTTCCTTGTGTGTGTCAAAGCCTACTACAATCTATAAGAGCTAACAAGTGAACTTAAATCAGACTAATATAAGTAGATTGATTCAGTTCATTTGGATTAGCTGTCTTCTTGATTGAACAACACAATAATGAATCGTTCTTCTTTGTTAAACAGTCAGTAACACAAAGGGTTATTTTTTCTGACATTTATTCCAGTGCACTCAAATGTTTTGTCATTAATGTCAATAAATAAATTTCCACGCAATTTGACATTTGACCAGTCGTCCTTAAGTGACTTGTTAACTTGTTATCATTAGGCAGAATAAGCTTAGTCATTACTACAGCTTCACTCTTATCGACAACACACATATTTAAATCCGATGTATTGCCACTTATCTAACTCATTTCGTATGCACAATTATATCGAAGAGAAGATAGACAAGTATCAAAAACAACTTGCAAGATAACGAGATATCGAGAAGACATTTGAATGATCGCTATCCACTTTTCACTTTTGATATGTTTGTTACAACTATGTTGTTCTGTATTACAAATAATTATATACAAAATATTCATAAAAATGATTGTACGCTACCAGTAAATAATATCATGGGAGAAAATAGTTCTTCTTTTCACTATAGAGAGGTTTGTGCGGATTGTGGAATTTTCATAAATTCAATCACGAACTGACCTTAACTAGACTGTCATTACAAACTGAGAAGCACTGAAAAGCTGTTTCATCTTCCAGTGGGACTCTTGAGGAGAGTGCATGAATCACCCAGATCCTCTAGGCTAA